AAACTGGGTGCCGCCAGGGGGGAGGGCCGGGAGAGAAGGAGGGGGGGGGGGGGGAATATATGAAGATGTCAACATTTGCCAGGAAGTACCACAGCTATTTGATATTCCAATTGTAAGACAAAAAACCATATATTACTGTTTTGCAGGTGTTGGTAGAAAGCAATCCCTGCAGTTTTAACTCCAACTTTTTTCTTTAGATAATCTTCAAAATAAATTTTGCAAAATTAGTTATATGTGTGTTAATCCCACAATTATTATCTTTTTCTGTTACAGCTTTTAATATAAAAAAACCTAACAAACTCATACTTACTTGGAATGTAAGAGATCATAACCAGGATCAGGAATGTATAGTAGTCAAAAGAAAAATTGTACTTGTTAGGTAAACTAATGGAATACAAGCCAGACTGCCTGACGAAGGGTAATGCAGCATATATTGTGAGTAATTCACCTGAGACTCCCATTGGATACAATATTATAAACAAAGTGTACCTAGAACAAAACATTTACAGAAAAGATTAAAAGGTATGACAAACTCTGACAAAGTATTTTTTAAATGCTACTATGGATATTCAAATTTTAAATTCTCAACTCAGTATTTATTTCCCTTAGCTCTTATTTGATTAGAGCATAGCAAGGTATGAACGTTATTGCAAGATAAGTATTCAAATCGGCAATCAGTTTGAATTATTTAAATATTACCTTTAAGAGTCTAAAAGCTATCCTTAAAACTATTCTCCTCCACCCCTCCACATACTCTGTTACTCCTTATTGTTAAATGTCAGTTTCTGACAAACACAATCACTTTGTAAATGGGACTGAGTTCTGACAAACTACTTTTTCAGCTTACAATGCAATAGATATTTTTAACCCAGAAATCTGATGGAAAGAAGCTAGGGAGTCACATTTACAAACAGGGCAATTACCTTAAGGTGGAATCTAATTTTTTGTACTGCAACTATTTCACAATATAAATATCCCTGTCAAATCAGTGCTTTAAGGCTATGATTTCTATTATGCCACCTACCTGGCCCATTTGATGAGATAAGGGAGATGGTTTAACAAGCTAAAAGTATAAAAAGAATAACGGATTATCTCAGTGATTGTCCAGGCCACCACAAACAACAGGACACTATCTTCAGTTTGTACCTGTAAGAAAGAAAAAAAAGCTCAGTATGAATTCAAGTGTTACTAGTAACTCAGTAACTCACCAGACCCAAGAAAACATCAAAGAAATCAATTCCCACAGGTTGCTTTACTGCATCATTTTAGAGAACAGACTCCAAGAATGAGCTTAAAAGCAACATTAATAACACAGTAAAACCCCCTTCTTATCATGCTCCATATTTTTCCTAGCTGCTTAAGAATAGCTCTGCTTGGTTATCAGGTAACTTAAGATCTCCCATTCTGTGCAAGGTAAATCAATACAAGAAAACGCTCAAATGCTGAGAACAACTCATAACTCTTCCATTCCTATATAGTACCAGCTTCTATTTCAGTCCTGTGATTGCCTCCTAGTGCAGCAAGCAGGAAGGATGCTAACACATTAGTCTAACACTTTATATCTGGTTTAGAATTTATATTATGATCCTAGTTCGTTCTACTTCTGAGTAGAAGCACTGTTTTTCTCTTTCTACAGATGAGAAACTGGGTCCTAATTTTGAGCAGTAGCAAAACCGCTAACACCAACACACAGGCTGGGAGGAGAGAAGAAACAGAAGCTCAGATTGTCTCACCTCAGGCAAGTTTGACAACTACCTACTTCACTGTTCTTTGCTCCTTTTTCTGCATATTGCATCCAGCATAGTTCCTCTAATGTCACACTCATGGCATTATTATGTTTCACTGCTTTACACCTCTTAAAGCTTTTATTTCAGACACACTTCACTGAACCAGCTTTTACTCCCTTCATATTTTGAAGGTTAATCTTCAAAAGCATGTATTTTTAAATGAATTATTAGATTTGGGACCATAATTATGAGGTTTAATTTTCAGATGGAATAACAGTGATGAAGTAGTAGACGGGGTCGCATACCTGCACTACAAACTCATGAGAGCACAAGCATGATTTTTATGCAGCCCTCCCATTCCTTCCCTTCCCTTCAGCAGAATTCTCAGCTGTGTGAGTACCTTAAGCCCAAATTCAGTGGGCCATGGGAACAAAAAGAGCTCAACCACAGGGGCCCGCATTTTCTTTTTTCCTCCAACTCTTGAAAAAAGGGAAAAGGAAGTCAGTAGGTGTGGGTGGTACACTCTATTCATCTTGGGCAAAGTACATGTACAAATGAAAAAAGGAACAAAAAAATGTATGGCCAATCAGAAACCTTTTAATAGGAGGGGACTGATACTATATTTGTGTGTAAAAACACTCAGGAGGATTACCCATAAAAAGCTTTCTGTTACAGACTACAAAACCCAGAAAGATTTATATAGAAATCTTGGGATATCCTGGAATGTAGAGCTGCTGTTAATCTATATTCTGCTGTGTATAGCATTTCAAGTCACTTTCATTGCATTTTGCAGCAAATAAACCTTGTCCTTTTTCTACATGAAACTCTGATAATTTGCTTATATATTAATCTCCTTTACAACACCATAAAAGAACAAAATCCAAAACTTATTGAAGATTTTCAGAGAAGAGATCAAATCTATTTTTACATTGCTACAGGATGCTAATCCTGTTTGGGGTCTCTTTATAAGCAAGACTTAGCTCCCAACCCAGAAAAGTTAACAGCACTTCACAGATGATGCTGTTCCCAAGGAGCAACATGCTTCACAAGCACTCCAGAGCTGCATCTTCTGGTCAAATTAGGAGTAGCAGCTTCGTGAGTTCACCTAAACCTATGAGTCACAGACTTCAACCTGTACTTTGAAACCCCACTTCTTTCCCTACCTATGGAAATCAGTAAAACCAACAAATAAAAATTTGTAGCTTGAAGTAGCACCCAAGGACACGAGCAAGGACAAGAAACTGTGAAGCTAACAGTGAATGATACATGCAGAAGTAGAAATCTGGCAGTTCTATCACAGGACTTCTGTAACACTGTCTTCACAGGTCTAGCCTTTCCCATCTACTTTAACATTAGAACTGTGTTTAGAAGTTATTAAAACAGTTCATACCTTTATAAAACACACACACATAACCCTGGTAAGGTCACTTAAAGAATCAATGATTGTGCCTTTATAGCTTGTGTCCCTATTTAAGAAAGAACGAATACTGGAAATTGGTGGTAGTTTTCATACAAGAGTGACCTATACAGTTTTCAAATAGTTCCATTCTGTGCAGTAAGGAAAAGAAGGCTCCTGTGCATTTTGTCATCATATTTTAACTACACTACAGAGCTCATCATTAAAAAGTATGTTTCTTACACACTAACAGACCTGTCAGAAGTCTGTCACTATTAGAACATCTCTTCGAGGACTGACAATTTTTCAATACTTCAAATAAAGAAGTCTGAGATGCACGTTATCAAACCCCCGGGAACTGATTTACAAAACAGTCTCTCGAGTCTTACTCATTTAGGCACTGATAATGATGCATTTGTATCATTCCTCTTCCAAGCTGAGGATAAGGAAGATAGTACAGCCAATAAACAGCAGACTCCTAGTAAACCACTAAAGCCCAATGTTGCCCTCAGAACTCTGTTTCTCTTCCTGTACTTTTTCATACCAGTCTTTGAAGGAGGTGTTAGACAAAGTCAAAGCACATTTTAGACTTTATTTACAACTTATTTGTCCAGCTGCCTTAATAAGAGCCAATCATACCACAGGCATAATTTTTTGGCATGTGTTTCAAACTGATTTATAATCAAGGAGGGTCCTGAATATATTTTAGCTTATCTTCCATACTATGAATAGCAGACAATGTTTGTTAAAATGTAAGAGAATCCATAGCCTTTTAAGTTGCAAAGATAAGAATTGGGAATTGACAAAATAAAGCCTGAGAGGTTTTTCCTGTTCTGCTTGCACATGAAAAGGAAAATTCTCTAGGATTTCTCCATGTTAAGAGTAACAGTTTGACAAATTATTTGCAGAAAGTTTCAGCTGAACACCTAATTAAGAAATCCAGTGCAGAAGAGTAACACCAGCAGCACTATGCAACTGTAATGATGAAACAGCATGTCTCCCTCCAGAGCGCTGGTTCTCTGGTACATTAATGTAAAAAAAAAAAAGAGAGAAAAAAGGAAGCTTCACAGTAGGCACAATGGGCCTGACAGACATTTGTGTTATACAGTATTACTCAAATTTTACATAGATGTAAAGCAGTGATGAATTAAGCTTTTCAACTGCACTCACCCATTTAGAGTTCTGAACTTTCCAGCATGGACTTCTTTTACTACAACTTAGTCTTAGATATCATAAATTAGGATGCTCTTCCCTCTTTAAGTATGCTTTACTACTGATGGAAGATGCCAATTCACCCCTGCTGATACTACAGTCCTAATTACCAGCTCAATATTCTGTACATGCCATCTTCACATCACCGCTTTCGACTGTGTGTTCTAGAAAGGTTCTTCTGAACTATATTTATCTGCAACTTATCTGTAACTGAACCCAAGTGGATAAGCATTAAATCACTGCTAACACCATTTTTTAATTACACAACAGAACTGGGTGCAGAATTATCTATTGGAACAGAACTCTACGAAGGCCTACCATGACGTCACCAGACGATCTCATTGTTTACACAAATTCAAAAAGACAACTTTGAACCAAAGGGCACCTTCTGTTCTCCTATGCCTACTTTCTTAAAGTCCTTCACACCAGTCTGCTCATTCTCTTCCCTCCTTTGTAGGAGAAACGGTAAAATTCACCAAACTGACTTCTTTCTGATGTAATGACAAAATGATTACAAGTACTCTATTACATGCCAGGCCTTCCTCCACTAAGCTAACAGATACTCATATGGTGGAGGTAAAGGGAATCTCATTGCTACCCAAAGAAGTGTGCAGTGCTTTAACATTTGCCATGCTTTAACATTTATTATAAATACTTTCAAATTGAATTTAACAACACATCAGCACTAAATTCAACAAAAAGCACAAACATGTTAGTGGCAAGAAGCATGCTTCAAATCACATCACATATCTAGAAGTGTATTCTGACAGAAAGGAGGGATGCAATACAGATGTTTCTTCTTTTAACTATATATTATATATGAAAACAGTCTGGAAAAGCAAGATACTGAACAAGTCTCACTTAAAAAGTTAAAGAGGAAAACTGCATTTTATTTTACAAGAACCTCATCATGCAACTGCATAGCTTACAAGTTCCATAAAGCTGTGTGAGAATTTAATCCTGGACTTCACCATGGAGCTCACTTGTGCAGACAGCCCTTTAGAAAAAGTAGAACACTCGTGACACTTTCAGTACATCTCCCCAGGTGAGGCTGCATGCTCTCTGGCTGGGGGGAAGGGGAGGGGTCAGAATACAGCCTCTTCATTTGATTTATTTGCTCTAAGTCACAGGTGAAAAATTCACCACAGGATTCCTCATCCTTACCATTCTTATGCCCACTTTCTAAGACATTAAAAAAGTAACACATAATAGAGTCTCTTGCAATACTTTAACCAAAAGACCACACAAATGTGAAGAAAAAACCTGCACGCAATATTGTTGAAAGAATACTTGTTAAAAAAACCCTTGTTAAAAACTGAATGTTAGGCTGAATTTGTTGCTCATTTTCTCCCATTTTGCTGTTTTTCTCTGGTGAGAATGTGGGCATAAGTTTCAAAAAACCTAACCCACAACCATTTTACAGGCTTCCCTTTGATGTCTAATAGACAACACATGGAATAATTCTAATCCATGCATTCCAACCTTTAATATTTGGCTTACTTCAAAACCAGGAGGCAATTCATAAAAACAGATTATCACTGTTCTTTATGAAACACCAGGTACCTCAACACTATACAGGTAAAACGCAAAACTACAGGCATTTTTCTTTAAAAATATTTTCTACATTTATCTAAAAGCTAATGTCTTGGGATTACGGCTTTTTTGTTGTTGTTGTTCAAAATCTAGTATTTATCTCCAGCAAATTAACAGAGACTGGAGTACATTTATTTGCCCCCAAAAGTGAAATCCATCAGAAGATAAGTATTTACAAGATTTTGAGTTTACTGAGAAAAAAATAACATTCTTCCACTTTAAATAGCATGAAACTAAGGCTCCACATGAACAAGCATCATAATATCAGACAGGGCTGTTAATTACTAAGAACTACAGTGACTTATGTTACTCTACATGTGGATGGATGCTCTGATAACAGGTTTGGAGTAAGGAAGAGAAAGCAGCTTCCCTGAAGACTTGGTAATGAAACAACCTCCTTAAGACATTCTCCATGTCAAGTCACAAAAGATCTTATGCATATAACAACACTAGATTACTTATTTCAGGCAGCCATGCTGACACTGGCATCAAGACTAATTTCTTTCTTTAATGAGAAGAAAACCAGTAAGATTGGTTGGCTAAAGTAACAGCACAGATGTGGCATATCTGGGCTACTACAAGGTATTCAGATGACATGAAAGAGTCGGTCAGCATGATCTGTATCAATTAAAGCATGTTCAGATTTTAAAATAGCTATCAGGAATAATTTTCAAATAAGACTGCTTCCAAAAGATTCTGCAGAGATTTGTATAAAATACAGCAATATTTGGTGTGGTATGCAATGAGAAAAAAACACACAGGCCCCAAACCCACCTACGCTTGAATGTAAGGAAAATGAGGGAAGGACAGAGGGAAGATTATACTGTAGAGTGGTAACAGAGAACATCCAGGCATTGCTGTGCACAAACAGTTGAGGGGGAGCTTCCACATGCCATGGTAAAGAAAGCAAACTGTGTATGAAAGAGGGGGGCAGTGAGGAGATTTGGCTATTAATTATGGCACTAGTGAGATCAATACTAGAATGCTGTCCCAAATTCCAGGTTCCATATTACACACTGGAACCTCTTCAACATTAAAGCAAGGACTGCAAAACAATTTCAGGAGCTAGATGTCTTACAGCGAGAGAATCAGACCTCAGCCTATTTGATTGTCAAGAAAAGATGACATCGGATTTATTTTTATTTCTTTTGATCCACAAATTTGCATAAACAAACACAAGTCATTTTAAGGAAAATAAGACAGCGATCAACACTTGCTTTTCGGCCTGGGTCATTAGTTTTTCTATCTATTTTGTAGCTTAACTTACCTCTTTCACACTATGTGTTACTGCCCACGTCAGGAAAACCCTTGACATCACTTGGAAAGCAGTCAGAACAACAGAAGAGGGAACAATGCCTGGAAGATATTTTGCAATTAGTAAATATTCCTGACTGTCGGGGTGGGAGGTGGGGAAAATAAAACACAGCTAAGCCAAAGTCCAGTTATTTGAAATTTTTGGAAGAAAAGCATTTCATTTTTTTAATTTGAGAGTACGAAGTCTGTCCTGTGGTGTGTTTATAGAGCCTAATGCAATGCAATCCCCTGACAAGACTTTATGCATCAAAATGCAAATAAAAATAATTGGTCTTGTTGCAATCACAGCATTCCTTAACATACAAAACAGCTGAGTAAGATGAAATAACTTTAACCAAATAGCTTTTAGGATACAGTCTTTCAAATAAACCTTGTTTGATTAAAATGTCCAAGATACTCTTCATTACTGTGATTTAAAAAGTAAAAAAATAAAGATTTTTTGCACAGTATATGCCCGAAAACAGCAAGTAAAAAGTATAACTACTTTGAAGAAACACTGTATCTATCAGAACATGGGCTAGATCAAAGTTTGTAATTCCTTCCTGGGAATACAACTTTTTAAAAAAACAAAACAAAACCCAAGAAATAGCTGATGCATTGGTAGGTACAGAAACAATTTCAAGATTTTCTCAAGGACGCTGATTTCACTGGTTCTTCTTAGCAAGTTCTGAGGTGCTGATTAAACTACCACTAAAAGGATCCTACACACCCAGGCCTGAAAGCACAGGAATGGTTTTAGACTGCAATATTACACAAAACTTCTGAAGTTCACAGCACAAAGTTTTCTTTTCTTCCAATAGCATGATGAAGACAAATGCAACAGCAGTTGCACCTCCTAAAATACACTAAAAAGTGCTTCTAAAACTAATGCAAATCACAGCAAGCAACACAACAGCCTCAGAAAGATGTAAAGACCAAAGAGGAAGAAAGAATAAGAAAAGCCAAAAGCAAGTTTAATCAGAATTATTTTCAGTCACACCACCATTATGTTAGTCTTCTTTCAGTGTAAAAAGAGGGAAAAATCCTACACACGCAGTGCTCTTCAGTTTTATCACATATTGTTCATAATCTAATTTCTGTTGTCAAACCTCGGGGCAGAATTGTTGTCTGTTACTCAGACAACACAAAAGGGGGTGCTAAAAAACCCCACAATCTGTACTCATTAAACTCTGTCCTGGTTTCAGCTGGGATAGAGTTAACTGTCTTCCTAGTAGCTGGTACAGTGCTATGTTTTGAGTTCAGTATGTGAAGAATGTTGATAACACTGATGTTTTCAGTTGTTGCTCAGTAGTGTTTAGACTATAGTCAAGGATTTTTCAGCTTCTCATGCCCAGCCAGGGCACCTGACCCAAACTGGCCAACAGTGTATTCCATACCATGGGACGTCCCATCTAGTTTAGGAACTGGGAAGGGGGGGGCAGGGAATTGCCACTTGGGGACTGGCTGGGTGTCAGTCGGCGGGTGGTGAGCAACTGCCCTGCGCATCATTTGTACATTCCAATCCTTTTATTACTACTGTTGTCATTTTATTAGTGTTATCATTATTAGTCTCTTCTTTTCTGTTCTATTAAACCATTCTTATCTCAACCCAGGAGTTTTACTTCTTTTCCCGATTTTCTCCCCCATCCCACTGGATGGGGGGGGGGGGGGGGGGGGAGGGAGGGAGTGAGCGGCTGCGTGGTGCTTAGTTGCTGGCTGGGGTTAAAGCACGACAAATTCTCACTCCTATGATATAACAGACCTTTTCTTTTATACAATTTAGATCATCCTTTCCTAAGCAAGATAGCCTAATGTTCTTGCAAAGGAATCTATAAATAAGCCAAAAAGACTGTGCAGGAACCATCTAAGATTATCTCACTAGTGAGACAAACAAGGTTTTTCATTATAGCCAAGACAATGCCAATCTATGCCAAAAACAGGAGATCAAAATAAGTGACTCACCAGCTACGATTTATGTAAACTTTACTTCCCTCTACTTATTTACTCATTGCTCTGAAAAGATACCCAACAGTCAATTTTAAACTTGGTATTTTCAAAAACATCTGTCACCACTTATACAATACTGCACATGCTAGAGCAGTGCTTGACAGAGGGCTCGGGTCCAGAACCAAGCAGCAAGTAAGCCATGCTCAGACCTTTTCCAGATCCCGGACTAAGCCTCCCACCTCCAGCAGGAAATCCTCTAACTCCCAACAAGTGCTTCCTCTCTCCCAGGGAGTTCCTGACTGAGAACAGGCTGTACACATAGCTTACAGGTGGAGCCCTCATGTCCCTCCTAACTGAGCAGGCTAAAGCAAAGTCAACCAGTGCTGCCTTTGGCTTGCCAGATGGTTATCAGTAAGCACCGCAATAGTAGGAAGGCTGGTACCGTAGTGATTCTGTAGGCTGGGCCTGTACTCACCAAAACCTTCTTGCTTTTCTCCATTCCCTTCACAAACTCTCTGTACTACTATTGCTTTTACATTTTGGTGTCTCCTATCACCTCTTTCCATACCAAACTCCTCCAGGCAGAAGCTCTTCCATGCTATCAATGCCATTCATACACTTGGCTTCCGTCTGATACACAAGCCAAGGAATTACATGTTCACTTTCCCATTTGCCTGCCCTTCAGTCTCTCCTCTTGGTCTCTGGGCTACACGTTACCTCCCCTCTTCATGCAGAGCTCTCCTCCTTCATTTTTTAGATCTTTGCCACATGCCCAAGTTCTGTTCTCAACCATGCTTGATAGAGACATTCCCCTATCCATCTTCGTATTTTGAAGAACTTGCCTCACAGATGCTAACATTTCAGATTCCACTGAAAAGATGTGGAGAGAAAAGTTATGCTGATACACACAGCCATCTGTCACAGATAAGCTCCCCTATTGACAGAGAATTACAGCTCTAGTTATAGAGCTGCAAATTTCCTGTTTCTCCTTGCATAGAAACTTCTACCAGAGTCAGTAGGACTACAGCAGACAGCAGCAGTGTATCCAGCTGTGGAAAAACCCTTCACTTTATTTAGGTGACAAATGCTGCCATTGAGGAAAAAAAAAATGCATGGGCAGTTATAATAAAATAAGTAGGTTTTTTTATAAAAAACTTTTGTAAGGGAAAGCAGAAAGATAGAATTATGGTGTAAAATGTTGCAACATTCCACTAATGGCTCACTAATATTAAATCCTGCAACCTAGGAGAACATAGGCTAAGTGGATCCACACCTCAAATCAGCTGAGCCAGGATTATTAGCTTTGCACACAGACAGGCCGCTACAGTTATCTTGTTTGCTCTTCTGCACCAGCCTGGAAGGTGAAACACAGGACTCTCTCCTGCTATTCATTGATTTCTGTGGACATATACTCGAAAGTGTGAGGAAAAGAATCCAATTAAATTCTTTACACTTTTTTAGATTTAATACTAGTAAACATTGGCATCTGCACACAGGTTTAGCTTAAGAAAACAGTAGAGCATTATAGGTTTAGGATGGTAAAATAGCATTTTATCTGCAAGTTTTTTTGCCCAGTGTTTTGAGATTTAACTCTTCCTTCTTGCCATTTTTTAAATAAGACTTCAAAAATTTCATATTTTATTATTAATTTTTGACATGAGAAGTAGGTATGGCTTATTCTGGTAAAAAATGGTAATTGAGATTTAGTAAAATAAAACAGTATTGGAAGGACTGCCTTCACAGCACAGGCAACTATATGATACATGCAGGTTACTCTGAGAAGCCTTCACATTAATTTGAGGAGTATATGATCATTCATTTCTTGGCATGATCTGTGCACAGCCTACAAACTGCCCTTTATAAGATAATGTTTTCAGAGTAACTGAATTATTCAGGAAGGTCAGAACTACTTTATCAAACACAGTATTAGACTGCCCTCTGCCGACAAATTTATGTATATGATTTTAAGTTTTCCAACTACCATATTTGGTTATTAAAAAAACATATATATCCTTTGCACAGGAATTCAATATGAACCTACAATCCAATACACCCTCCAGTATGTAGATTGTTTGTACGATACTTGAAAAATAGCAGGTTTGTAGCTGCCACTTAAGGAACCTTAATACCATCTTACTCTTCAAAAAAGTAGCTAGCCAACATTCAGATAGAAGCTCAAACACTTATATTTAAAATCACAAGACCAACTACTTGAACACGACTGTCTTTTTGTGAAGACTGGATTGTTTAGAAAAATCAGAGTTAAGCAAAGGTGTGCAGACACGCACTGCTCCCTTTTATAGCAAATTGGCTTTGATCTTGCAGAGATTGCCACACATCATCTATTCTATGAACAAAACATCCAAATACTGAGGCCAAACTGTTCACTACTCATGACGACTTAACAAACCTGACAAGATGCAATCCTGTCACTCAAGACATTAGGCTCTTCAGGTTGACTGAACCACGACACTGCTACTGATCCCAAGCCACACAGACACAGTTGAGTTCCTGCTACCAAGCTAACGAACAAGCCTCACAGTACTGGCTAACAAGAATTGCTGAGTCAAGTCTTAAGTAATTTGTACTCTCCCAAACTGTTCCATTAAAGCCCAGCCAAATCTGGGATAAAGAATGGTTACCCCTTCCTAATTTTACAAGGTGTATCTATGCTCTATGGATGTGGGCAAAGTTCTAGTGCTTGAAATGTTATTTTTATTGGACTTTAAATTACTTCCAGATAGAAATATTCTTTTGGAGGAAAGACAGCTTGGTACAGAAGATTATAGGGTGTAGAGATGGAGAGTAATGATCTCCTATAAAACATTTATAAACTGCTCTAAGATTTGTAGCACTGGACAGATCTAGATAAAAATAAAATGTCAAGTAATTGAAAACCTGTTATACTATTTTCCTTTTTGGGATTTAACTTGTCAAATTATTTAGTAAAAAATTGGAATGTACTTCAAGCAGGAAGTAGCGAGTTATGCAAGAATTAAATCTGGCAATTCATAGACCATAACATTTTTCACGCTAATATATTGCTAAAATTGCAGTCTTCTATAAAAATAATAAAACTGAAAATTTGCAAGCTTACCAAATGCACAGTGCAGAATCTAGAACAAAAAGAAAAAAATCAAATCACTAACATTTCAAATGAAGCAGTTCAGAAACACGTTTAGTTCTATCACAAGAGCTTAAGATTCAATATTTGTATTTCGAAGATTAAGTTTAATATTTAGCTCTGCTGCCCAAGCTAAATAGCAGACAGTAAGCTCCCTCACCACTTGCTAAAAGGAAAAGTCCAGCATTTGTGTGAGGCATATTTCTTAGGTTTACCTTCAAATCACTCTATAAATGCTAATGAAAAAACAGGTACCTAGAAAGCACTGTTCAACAAAGGCTGCCTTAATTCTCCTAAACAAAACACTCATGCAAATATTTGTAACGCTAGGGAAGAAGACTACACCTACCTCAAGCAAAGCTCCAGTTTGGAAGAATTTCAGGGGCTTTTCTATTGAATAGTAAAGGCTATGGTAGCTACCTTTAGCCAGGTATGCTCGAACTAGACCAACTGCAATAACAAGCCACCTGAAAGAGAGAAAAAAGTCTAAGATAAGGAGACATTAAGCAGAGCATAAATACAAAGAAATCCTTAATACCTTATCTGAGAAAGCAACAGGCATATAAATGTCCTGAAAGATATTAACTTTTTGCCTACCCACTGCAACACTGAAAACATCAAATATCTGGATTCTCTGCAAATTTATCAAAGTTAAAGATTATGCACCAAAGATTTTGGCACCAACATGATACCAATGTCTTTAATGTCTAAGTTTATTTTTCAGTGAGCTGTATTTAATTTAGTTATGGAAGGTATTAATGACATTTTAAATAAGACTGGCATCACATTTTGTTTAGTTTAAGCAGAAAAACATTTACTGCTAGTCAAACATCTCTTACCATACCATAACTTAAAAAAGTATGACGAACAATTATGACTGAGAAGGCACTGATTTTAATGTTTCAGTTCAAAGTAAGCCCTTAGACTTTATGGCAGACCATTCAGCTTAATTGCTAGCATTTATTTTATGAGAAACAGTTATGGGTAAGTAACTGCAAGAAAACGGAGCCTGCTAAAGCCTTGCAGGCAGCAATGGCCATTCCTGTCCCAGCTTTCCTTTTAAAGCAACAAACACATCTAGGCCTATACAAGTAGTGCCTATATACCTGCAACTATACTACAAACAATGTGATCTATCAACCCTGCTGATTTTCCCCTCAAGTAATTTAGGAAGCAGTCCTAAAAATTCTTCCTCCAATCTTGGTCTATCTTTCACTACCAGAGCTGTCCAGAGTCAGTGTTTGCCCACAATGTCAGAAATTCTTCAGTGAAGTCTAGGACAAGCCACAAAACTAAGGTGGGTACACCCTGGTCAAGCACTTTTTCATTTGAAATGAGCATCTGTAGTTAACTTTAGTTTCCAATTGCTTGTGGCAAACATGGCGAGAAGGGGTTGGAAAACATGAAGTGGGAATCCTTACCAGCAGCTTGCAAACTTTTCACTGACACGTTCATCCTGGCTGTCTTGCCGTCAGCTACTCCCAATGCCACACTACTTTACCTCCACCTTGTTCCAAACCCAGAAGTGCTGTTACAAAGCTTGTGCTAAGTCACCAAGTGTCTCTGCTAACAATAATGCACCTCAGTGGAAGTGTGTGTAGACACGTAGAAAGTCCCCTAACTATGCGACAGCTTTTCACTCTTCAGAAAAAATCTGCAGCTGTGGTTTTGTAATAGGGAAGATGAAGAAATTCCTTTAATTTACAGCATATTAGGTGCTTACAAGTACCGCATTAGGTATTATAAAGTATATACAAATATTGTTCCAAATGTAATAATTGTTTGAAATACACTGTGAAGTTCAGATTTTTCAATAATACGCAACTCTGGCATCCAAGTTTGTGTTTGTAACATCGTTTGTATGACTGAAAAAAAGCTATTTCATTTCTGCCTGGACTCCTCAGAAGATGAGCACCAAAGAAAAGCAGTAGGAGTGGGGAAGAGAAATGGGGAATGAGGAACAAGCCCTCCCTTTTCTCCGTAGCGACAAGTTATTTCAGTTAAAGCTGCCTTGTGAAACCAAAAGACAAACATTTGCCAGGTAATTCCTGTTTACAAAGAAAGAATCCAATTTCTTACTTGGACTTCACTGTAGAATAAACCAGTAGGTGCTGTAGTATTAATGACTCTCCCTTGCAACACTGACTGCTTCTTTTTTAGAAGAGTAAATCAGAGCAGGTTGACACCATCCTGTTCCTATCTGTCAGGTTCCTCTATTTTTCCTAATCTTCTGTGTTTGTTGAGAAACTTTGCTCAACTGAGCATTTCTCAGGTTGCACAAGATACCAGTTCTTGGTTGTGCCTGCAAACTGTTCTCACCTTAACTGAGCGTTTGGTGAAGCACATGGCTCCCAGAGGAGCTCCAGCCCCTTGCTCACCTCCACTCTCCCTGCCGGATCACTGACTCCAGCAAGACCGTACTTTCCATTCCATTTACTGTCCTTCAAAAAGCATTTAATACAGATCAAAGTATTAATCAGTACAAACTTAAAAGCTGTGCCTAGTTTGTGTTGAAGCTTTTAGTATCAGTACCTCTGTCCTGCTTCTGTGATTCTTAAATTGTTCTTCACCCTCTATGACTAGAGAAAATGGAATAGGAGTAGGTGAAAGTGAGGAAGATCAATGGAAAAAGAAACACGGTGAGAAGTTTAAAAGGGCAGCAAAAGGCATGACTGTCATATGGAAGCTAAGCTGTAAGTTAGTTTTTCCAGCTTTCTCTGACCTAGATACTGAAGTCCACCTAAAGTACCAGCTGGAGTTACATTTTATTAAATTACCACTGTCATGCATGTAAACTTTTAGCTAGACTCTTACACTCTTTGATTAATCCAA